AGCCTTAATTTGGCTCTAATTTAAATCCCGATTGATCTTTCCTTATTAAACTTGGCACTATGTGCAAGATTTAGCTTGGCAAACCCCAGCTTGGCATTAAAGAAAGGTTATCAACCCAACAGCATTGTGGATTTGTCAAAATGAAACTAGTTGTGTAGGTTAGAAGCACTGCAATAATAACACCTGTGGCTAACCACTGTTTTTGTGGAGATGTGTGCCCTGTCCAACACAAGAAGTATCCGGACTAGCTCATAATGCTAATTTTATGTATCTTTACAGTGAAGATTTAGAAATGTCAAAGACGCTTCCCTTTTTGGCCTTATTGAGAAACTTGGAAATATGCGCCAGGTCCATTGAGATCAGCATGTTCTAACTGTACAGGAAAAAGGAAACCAGCAGTGATCACGAGGCCAGGCTTGGTTTTTCTCTGAAACTGTGTCTGCCAACTGGGTGAGCTGATGCTATCTACAGTATTTAGTACAAGGAGCAAAATTAGGCTTCCTGTGTTAACTCATGCAATGCACCCTTTATCTTTATTGCTTAGAGATACATTTGTATTCGCAGGTTTTTCATTCTGAGATGACACTTTGTTTGAGCATTAATTTAATTTTCTAATCTAACATTTTGGTAACACTTTACTTTAATGAGGATGAAGAACTGCCATAAGTCCCTTATAAATACTATACAACATGATACAACAAGCACAATAACCATTCCGCAAAAAATATTTTACAGAAACATACCAGTACCACTCTTAATGAGCTGCATCTGCTCTAAGGTCCTTCATACTGTCTTCCATCATGTTTACCTGTGCACTCTCTACCTAAAGCTCTGCTCTGATATTTTGACTAGAAAACATCCACAAATTGTTATAAAGGATTAAGAATATAGATATACAGTATCGTGTTGTATAGTGTCTATGAAGGAGTAATGACACTATATTTTTGGTTTCATTCAAGCAGAAAAGCATCCCCAATATTTTTACAAACTTCAGGATATTCTTGTTGGCAGCTTCTGTGATAGGTCTATGACATGTTTGTGGTTTGCAATAAATTGCTTTCCCTCATTATGGTAGAATCTTTCTTGTTACAGAATGTAATTCTAAACTGAAAGGTTCAGTAACGATGTGTCACACACTTTAATTAATAAAGCCCAATAACAGATGCCTCAAGCTAAACGCCCAAAGCAATCAAATGATGTTCTGTTTTGCAGTGAACTTTCCCTTCCAGTTAACATTTCATAACCAAAAAGGTATTTTGCTTTAATATTTGTAGAAGTATAGGATTCTGTTTTTTTAAATGAAGTTTTTAATAAGGTGTACTTGGAATATTACTTTATTAATCTTTAAACAACACTACAGATTGCATCAAGTATCACTCATTTTGGATTTAGAGAAAACTAGTTAATGAAGATAAAATGTTATTGTCAGTTGTTCTTATGGGGAAAAATGTTTTATATGAATAGAAATAAGATAAATCTCTACTGCCATCATAAATGTGATGCAGAAAATAATTTTATTTAGTGTATGTGGGGTATGACTGTTTAAAAAAGTGTAACAAATTACATTGTTATATTCCATGTGCTTCAGTATATGTTATGGTGTCAAGTAATTCTTGCGGGACATTATATGCAAAGCACGTATAGAGGTGGACCAATAAAAAAGATATTGCACCTGCCTTGCTGTGCTTCCTCTAGTCACTCTTTAATGTAATGGAAGGCAAAGGTATGGAAATGATAAAACCTTCCGCTGTGGTTAGATGTTCTAAGAAACAATGCATTGCCTTAGCTGTGCATATGCTACACTTGTCTCAAAGATGTGTATTAAATATCACAGACCTTCACACTGTCTTTGTGCATGGTTAGGAAGTTTCAATCTAAAATTAATCATTTAATATTAACATTAATTTTTAACTAATTTTGGTAACAGACCCATTTATTGATATAAAATGAATGTATTGTAACTGATCCAAATGAATGTAATTTCTGAAGAGTTAACTTTGAATTCACTTAATAGATCAGAGTCTGTGAAATGCAGAGTTGTACTCATTCTTAAAACTGCAACTTTAGCATTTTGTTCAGAATTTGTAAAGCATGAAAAAAACCAAATGAAAATTATAGCTTGTCTTCTTTTTTTTCTACTGTTAACAAGGTTGTTTTACTCTGCAGTGAAAACCACAGTTCCCCCATGGTCACAGTGCTAAAGTACCACGTGTGTCTTTTGATCATAAAAAAATACCATGAGATGTTA